ATAAAAAAGGGAAAATAGTCCCATAAAACCAAAGACCACCATCCAAGGGGCCCACATAAACCAGAAGGCCACCACCCAAGCTGACCACACCCAACCAGAAGACCCACCAAGTGACTAATCCAACCGAAGGACCCCCACCCAAGCTGGACCAACCCAACCAGAAGGACCACCATCCAAGCTGACCACATCCAACCAGAAGGACCACCATCCAAGCTGACCACATCCAACCAGAAGGACCACCATCCAAACACAGATGGTTGACATATGGGGGGGGTTAAGGCGGACTAATGCAAACTGGTCAGTGGGGGGTTAATGTGTTCATTGGGGAGGTTAGTGGGGGCAGGGGTTAAGGTGGACCTGTCCAGCTCCAGCAGCAGTGGGGGATGGAACTGTTCTACCGTTCTGCTTCCTTAAACTTTAACGCGTTTTCAGGGCTGTTTTTGTTTTGAACTTGAAAGTCAGGAGTCCTGTTGGATCTCAGTGCTGCATTTGATCCAGTTGATCAGAATATTCTTTTAGAAAGACTTGAATATTTTGTTGGAATTAAAGGAACAGCTCTAGACTGGTTTAAATCTTATCTATCTGATCGAATTCAGTTTGTTCATGTTAATGATAGATCTTCAACACGCTCAAAGGTTACCTGTGGAGTACCACAGGGATCAGTGCTAGGACCAATTCTCTTTACTTTATACATGCTCCCAATCGGTAGAATTATTAGACAGCATGGGATTAATTTCCACTGTTATGCTGATGATACCCAGCTATATCTGTCTATAATCCAGATGAAGCTAACCCATTACATAGATTACAGGCATGTCTGAAGACAGAAAAACCTGGATGACTCTTAACTTTCTGCTTCTGAATGCAGACAAAACAGAAGTTATAGTCTTTGGACCAGAGTCTCTGAAAAAGAAGCTGATTAGCCAGTCACTTCATTTGGATGGGATTAAACTGATTTCAGATAATAAAGTAAAAAATCTTGGTGTTATTTTTGATCAGGACCTGTCATTTAAATCCCAGATCAAAGAGGTTTCTAGAATTTCCTTCTTTCATCTGAGGAATATTGCAGAAATGAGCAATCTCCTGTCCAGGGGTGATGCTGAGAAACTAGTCCATGCATTTGTTACTTCAAGGCTGGACTATTGTAATTCTTTACTATCAGGAAGTCCACAAACTGTAGTTAAAAGCCTTCAGCTGATCCAAAATGCTGCAGCCAGAGTTCTGATGAAAATGAAAAAGAGAGATCATATCTCTCCTATCCTGGCTTCTCTTCATTGGCTTCCTGTTAAATCCAGAATAGAATTTAAAATCCTCCTTCTCACATATAAAGCCTTAAATGGCCAAGCTCCATCTGATATCAGAGATCTGATTGTTCCTGATGTTCCTAACAGAGCACTTCGCTCTCAATCTGCAGGTTTACTAGTGGTTCCTAGAATTTCTAAAAGTAGAATGGGAGGCAGATCTTTTAGTTATCAGGCTCCTCTCCTGTGGAACCAACTACCAGTTTTAGTCCGTGAGGCAGACACCCTGTCTACTTTTAAGGCTAGGCTTAAAACTTTCCTTTTTGATAAAGCTTCTAGTTAGAGTGGCTCAGGTTATCCTGATCTATCTCTATAGTTCTGCTGCTATAGGCTTATACTGCTGGAGGACATAGGGACCCCTTTTTCATCATTCTGCTTCATTCTATCTCTATTCTCCCACTCTGCAGAATCTGTTAGTTCAATCTCTAACGTTCTGCTCTCTCTGCTTTTTCTCATAGTAGCTTCATCTGGTCTGTTCCTGTTTGGCTGTGACTCCATCCTGGAGAGAAATATCAGCTGTGCTGCTGCCATCAACACCTTTGTTTCTAGATGTTGGAGCTTGGCCTGTTTTCCAGTGTAGTCCTGTTTCTCTGACTGTGACTAACTGGATGTGCTCTCTTCATCCTCTGACATGGGAGCTGGCTCGGAGCTCGTCTGCCTGGCTGTGTGTTTCCTGGACGGGGCTGCCTGTGGAGCTGGTTGCCTTTTGTATCTATGCTTCTTTTTCTATGTCTGCTTCTGTCTCCTTGAACCCCAGTGGGCCTCAGCAGATGGCCGCTCACACTGAGCCTGGTTCTGCTGGAGGTTTCTTCCTGTTCAAAGGGAGTTTTTCCTCTCCACTGTCGCTACAAGCATGCTTAGTGTGAGGGATTGCTGAAGAGTCAATGAGTCGATGCAATCAGCTGGTTTTCCTTAGATAGAAAACTTTGAATCAATCTGACTGGATGATCTGGTTGTTCTGTATCTATAAAGTGACCTGAGATGACATGATGGGAATTGGAGCTATAGAAATAAACTGAATAGAATTGAGAGAAACTCACGCATGAACGAAGTTGGTGGTTCCATCGATGGGGTCGATGATCCAGGTGGGATCATCAGTCCAGACGCACGGCTCACCTGCTGCCACAGACTCCTCCCCTATAAACCTGGGCACCAATATTTCACAATAAAAGCATGGAGGCCAGGGGTCTGACCTTCCAGACACACCAGTTCTTAGGGGGCGGGGCTTCTTACCTGTGCTCGGGGAACTTCTCCTTCACTGATTGGATGATGAGCTGCTCCACCTTCTGGTCGGTCTGAGTCACTAGATCGACCGCTGAACTCTTGGTCATCACCGCCCGCTCGCCCCTCAGCGCCTCACGGACCACCTGGTCGGTACATGACCCAGGAAAGCCATCAGAACCTCAGCTGATTGGAAACGGGTTCTAGCTTCCTAGGCTGGTTCTGATTGACCCAAACAAAGAGGAGCACCAGAACATCTCACCTCTCCAGCTTTCCGTGCCACAGCGACAGCGTGATCCATCACCTTCTGCAGGAGGTCGGCCATGTTGGACGAGCAGCTCCTATAGGAATGGAGGGTAAAGGTCTCAGAGAAACTGGGAGTACTTGCAGCCCGTTTTACTCTGCAGCGCCATCTAGGAGGCGGTTCAGCAGGGAGGGGCCACTGATGGCTACTATGGATCTGAAAGCTTCTGGAAGGAGAAGAACCACAGCTGAGGTCCAAACCTACTAGCATTGAAACAGAGCAGGCGCCGCGTCGGCTGCTGGAGCACCTGCAATATGGTGGCCATCTTGGAGCAGTCTTCCCACTCCTACTACCAAACAGGAAGTCGACTACCCTAGGACGCATCAGATCAGATGATCACCTCTAAGATGACAACGAGCTAATGCTAATGCTAGCATAATGTTTGGAGCTGATTGATAGAAAGCAGACTGAATGAGAGCCATGGAAAACAGGAAGACTGATGGAAAGATCAGCGGAGGAAAACAGGAAGACTGATGGAAAGATCAGCGGAGGAAAACAGGAAGACTGATGGAAAGATCAGCAGAGGAAAACAGGAAGACCGTTGGAAAGATCAGCGGAGGAAAACAGGAAGACCGTTGGAAAGATCAGCGGAGGAAAACAGGAAGACTGATGGAAAGATCAGCGGAGGAGGAAAACAGGAAGACTGATGGAAAGATCAGCGGAGGAGGAAAACAGGAAGACTGATGGAAAGATCAGCAGAGGAAAACAGGAAGACTAATGGAAAGATCAGCAGAGGAAAACAGGAAGACTGATGGAAAGATCAGCGGAGGAGGAAAACAGGAAGACTGATGGAAAGATCAGCAGAGGAAAACAGGAAGACTGATGGAAAGATCAGCGGAGGAGGAAAACAGGTAGACTGATGGAAAGATCAGCAGAGGAGGAAAACAGGAAGACTGATGGAAAGATCAGCGGAGGAAAACAGGAAGACTGATGGAAAGATCAGCGGAGGAAAACAGGAAGACTGATGGAAAGATCAGCGGAGGAAAACAGGAAGACTGATGGAAAGATCAGCAGAGGAGGAAAACAGGAAGACTGATGGAAAGATCAGCGGAGGAAAACAGGAAGACTGATGGAAAGATCAGCGGAGGAAAACAGGAAGACTGATGGAAAGATCAGCGGAGGAAAACAGGAAGACTGATGGAAAGATCAGCGGAGGAAAACAGGAAGACTGATGGAAAGATCAGCAGAGGAAAACAGGAAGACTGATGGAAAGATCAGCAGAGGAAAACAGGAAGACTGATGGAAAGATCAGCAGAGGAGGAAAACAGGAAGACTGATGGAAAGATCAGCAGAGGAGGAAAACAGGAAGACTGATGGAAAGATCAGCGGAGGAAAACAGGAAGACTGATGGAAAGATCAGCGGAGGAAAACAGGAAGACTGATGGAAAGATCAGCAGAGGAGGAAAACAGGAAGACTGATGGAAAGATCAGCAGAGGAGGAAAACAGGAAGACTGATGGAAAGATCAGCGGAGGAAAACAGGAAGACTGATGGAAAGATCAGCGGAGGAAAACAGGAAGACTGATGGAAAGATCAGCGGAGGAAAACAGGAAGACTGATGGAAAGATCAGCGGAGGAAAACAGGAAGACTGATGGAAAGATCAGCAGAGGAGGAAAACAGGAAGATTGATGGAAAGATCAGCGGAGGAAAACAGGAAGACTGATGGAAAGATCAGCAGAGGAAAACAGGAAGATTGATGGAAAGATCAGCAGAGGAAGACAGGAAGACTGATGGAAAGATCAGCAGAGGAGGAAAACAGGAAGACTGATGGAAAGATTAGCAGAGGAGGAAAACAGGAAGACTGATGGAAAGATCAGCAGAGGAGGAAAACAGGAAGACTGATGGAAAGATCAGCAGAGGAAAACAGGAAGACTGATGGAAAGATCAGCAGAGGAAAACAGGAAGACTGATGGAAAGATCAGCAGAGGAAAACAGGAAGACTGATGGAAAGATCAGCAGAGGAGGAAAACAGGAAGACTGATGGAAAGATCAGTAGAGGAAAACAGGAAGACTGATGGAAAGATCAGCAGAGGAGGAAAACAGGAAGACTGATGGAAAGATCAGCAGAGGAAAACAGGAAGACTGATGGAAAGATCAGCAGAGGAAAACAGGAAGACTGATGGAAAGATCAGCAGAGGAAAACAGGAAGACTGATGGAAAGATCAGCGGAGGAAAACAGGAAGACTGATGGAAAAATCAGCAGAGGAGGAAAACAGGAAGACTGATGGAAAGATCAGTAGAGGAAAACAGGAAGACTGATGGAAAGATCAGCAGAGGAAAACAGGAAGACTGATGGAAAGATCAGCAGAGGAAAACAGGAAGACTGATGGAAAGATCAGCAGAGGAGGAAAACAGGAAGACTGATGGAAAGATCAGCAGAGGAAAACAGGAAGACTGATGGAAAGATCAGCAGAGGAGGAAAACAGGAAGACTGATGGAAAGATCAGCGGAGGAAAACAGGAAGACTGATGGAAAGATCAGCAGAGGAAAACAGGAAGACTGATGGAAAGATCAGCAGAGGAAAACAGGAAGACTGATGGAAAGATCAGCAGAGGAGGAAAACAGGAAGACTGATGGAAAGATCAGCGGAGGAAAACAGGAAGACTGATGGAAAGATCAGCAGAGGAAAACAGGAAGACTGATGGAAAGATCAGCAGAGGAAAACAGGAAGACTGATGGAAAGATCAGCAGAGGAAAACAGGAAGACTGATGGAAAGATCAGCAGAGGAGGAAAACAGGAAGACTGATGGAAAGATCAGCAGAGGAAAACAGGAAGACTGATGGAAAGATCAGCAGAGGAAAACAGGAAGACTGATGGAAAGATCAGCAGAGGAAAACAGGAAGACTGATGGAAAGATCAGCAGAGGAGGAAAACAGGAAGACTGATGGAAAGATCAGCAGAGGAAAACAGGAAGACTGATGGAAAGATCAGCGGAGGAGAAAAACAGGAAGACTGATGGAAAAATCAGCGGAGGAAAACAGGAAGACTGATGGAAAGATCAGCGGAGGAGAAAAACAGGAAGACTGATGGAAAGATCAGCAGAGGAAAACAGAGATCAGGCAGGAGTCAGCTGGAAAGAAAAGCAGACTGAATGACCAGATGGCACCGATAAACGCCATCCAATCAATGGTGTAACCATCGGTAAGCAGAGACTGCAGTTGCTTAGGGGCCCCCGACCTCTTAGGGCCCCTGTCACTGACACCTGGTTGGCCCCCTACGCAATCATGGACTAGGACGTCTCTGTGCAGATGTAATGGTACAATACTGGATCAAGTAAGCGGAGCATATTTATACAGCGACACATGGCAGATTCACCATGATGGTGAGCCGTTTAAACACCACACCAACAGCAAAGCAGGCACTTTTAATTACGTTCCAGGATTAAATAAATTAACATTCCTGGATTAGAAGAGTGAGCATTCCTGGACTAGAAGAGTGAGCGTTCCTGGATTAGGAGAGTTAGCGTTCCTGGATTAAATAAATTACCATTCCTGGATTAGAAGAGTGAGCATTCCTGGATTAGGAGAGTTAGCGTTCCTGGTTTAAATAAATTAACATTCCTGGATTAGAAGAGTTAGCATTCCTGGATTAGGAGAGTTAGTATTCCTGGATTAGAAGAGTTAGCGTTCCTGGATTAGAAGAGTTAGTATTCCTGGATTAGAAGAGTTAGCGTTCCTGGATTAGGAGAGTTAGTATTCCTGGATTAAATAAATTAACATTCCTGGATTAGAAGAGTGAGCGTTCCTGGATGAGGACACTTATCGTTCCTGGATGAGGAGAGGAACATTCCTGGATTAGGAGAGGAGTATTTCTGGATTAGGAGAGGAATATTTCTGGATTAGGAGAGGAATATTTCTGGATTAGAAGAGTTAGCATTCATGGATTAGGAAAGGAAGATTCCTGGATTAGGAGAGGAGCATTCCTGGATTAGGAGAGTTAGCATTCCTGGATTAGGAGAGGAACATTCCTGGATTAAGAGAGTTAGCATTCCTGGATTAGGAGAGGAACATTCCTGGATTAAGAGAGTTAGCATTCCTGGATTAGGAGAGGAATATTTCTGGATTAGGAGAGGAGCATCCCTGGATTAGGAGAGGAGCATTTCTGGATTAGGAGAGGAGCATTTCTGGATTAGGAGAGGAGCATTTCTGGATTAGGAGAGGAATATTTCTGGATTAGAAGAGTTAGCATTCATGGATTAGGAGAGGAAGATTCCTGGATTAGGAGAGGAACATTCCTGGAATACGGGAGTAAGCATTCCTGGATTAGGAGAGGAGCATTCCTGGATTAGGAGAGTTAGCATTCCTGGATTAGGAGAGGAACATTTCTGGATTAAGAGAGTTAGCATTCCTGGATTAGGAGAGGAACATTCCTGGATTAAGAGAGTTAGCATTCCTGGATTACGAGAGGAACATTTCTGGATTAAGAGAGTTAGCATTCCTGGATTAGGAGAGGAACATTCCTGGATTAAGAGAGTTAGCATTCCTGGATTAGGAGAGGAACATTCCTGGATTAAGAGAGTTAGCATTCCTGGATTAGGAGAGGAATATTTCTGGATTAGGAGAGGAGCATTCCTGGATTAGGAGAGGAGCATTTCTGGATTAGGAGAGGAGCATTTCTGGATTAGGAGAGGAGCATTTCTGGATTAGGAGAGGAATATTTCTGGATTAGAAGAGTTAGCATTCATGGATTAGGAGAGGAAGATTCCTGGATTAGGAGAGGAACATTCCTGGATTAGGAGAGGAACATTCCTGGAATACGGGAGTAAGCATTCCTGGATTAGGAGAGGAACATTCCTGGATTAGGAGAGTTAGCATTCCTGGATTAGGAGAGGAACATTCCTGGATTAAGAGAGTTAGCATTCCTGGATTAGGAGAGGAACATTCCTGGATTAAGAGAGTTAGCATTCCTGGATTAGGAGAGGAACATTCCTGGATTAAGAGAGTTAGCATTCCTGGATTAAGAGAGTTAGCATTCCTGGATTAGGAGAGGAACATTCCTTGATTAAGAGATTTAGCATTCCTGGATCAGGAGAAGAGCATTCCTGCATTAGGAGAGGAGCATTCCTGGATAAGAAGAGGAGCATTCCTGGATTAGAAGAGTTAGCATTGCTGGATTAGGAGAAGAGCATTCCTGGATTAGGAGAGGAACATTTCTGGATTAGGAGAGGTAGCATTCCTGGATTAGGAGAGGAGCATTCCTGGATTAAGAGAGTTAGCATTCCTGGATTAGAAGAGTTAGCATTGCTGGATTAGGAGAAGAGCATTCCTGGATTAGGAGAGGAAAATTTCTGGATTAGGAGAGGTAGCATTCCTGGATTAGGAGAGGAGCATTCCTGGATTAAGAGAGTTAGCATTCCTGGATTAGGAGAGGAATATTTCTGGATTAGGAGAGGAGCATTCCTGGATTAGGAGAGGAGCATTTCTGGATTAGGAGAGGAGCATTTCTGGATTAGGAGAGGAGCATTTCTGGATTAGGAGAGGAGCATTTCTGGATTAGGAGAGGAATATTTCTGGATTAGAAGAGTTAGCATTCATGGATTAGGAGAGGAAGATTCCTGGATTAGGAGAGGAGCATTCCTGGATTAGGAGAGTTAGCATTCCTGGATTAGGAGAGGAACATTCCTGGATTAAGAGAGTTAGCATTCCTGGATTAGGAGAGGAACATTCCTGGATTAGAAGAGTTAGCATTGCTGGATTAGGAGAGGAAGATTCCTGGATTAGGAGAGGAACATTCCTGGAATACGGGAGTAAGCATTCCTGGATTAGGAGAGGAGCATTCCTGGATTAGGAGAGTTAGCATTCCTGGATTAGGAGAGGAACATTCCTGGATTAAGAGAGTTAGCATTCCTGGATTAGGAGAGGAACATTCCTGGATTAGAAGAGTTAGCATTGCTGGATTAGGAGAAGAGCATTCCTGGATTAGGAGAGGAACATTTCTGGATTAGAAGAGTTAGCATTCATGGATTAGGAGAGGAAGATTCCTGGATTAGGAGAGGAACATTCCTGGAATACGGGAGTAAGCATTCCTGGATTAGGAGAGGAGCATTCCTGGATTAGGAGAGTTAGCATTCCTGGATTAGGAGAGGAACATTCCTGGATTAAGAGAGTTAGCATTCCTGGATTAGGAGAGGAACATTCCTGGATTAGAAGAGTTAGCATTGCTGGATTAGGAGAAGAGCATTCCTGGATTAGGAGAGGAACATTTCTGGATTAGGAGAGGTAGCATTCCTGGATTAGGAGAGGAGCATTCCTGGATTAGAAGAGTTAGCATTGCTGGATTAGGAGAAGAGCATTCCTGGATTAGGAGAGGAAAATTTCTGGATTAGGAGAGGTAGCATTCCTGGATTAGGAGAGTTAGCATTCCTGGATTAGAAGAGTTAGCATTGCTGGATTAGGAGAAGAGCATTCCTGGATTAGGAGAGGAAAATTTCTGGATTAGGAGAGGTAGCATTCCTGGATTAAGAGAGTTAGCATTCCTGGATTAGAAGAGTTAGCATTGCTGGATTAGGAGAAGAGCATTCCTGGATTAGGAGAGGAAAATTTCTGGATTAGGAGAGGTAGCATTCCTGGATTAGGAGAGGAGCATTCCTGGATTAAGAGAGTTAGCATTCCTGGATTAGAAGAGTTAGCATTGCTGGATTAGGAGAAGAGCATTCCTGGATTAGGAGAGGAAAATTTCTGGATTAGGAGAGGTAGCATTCCTGGATTAGGAGAGGAGCATTCCTGGATTAAGAGAGTTAGCATTCCTGGATTAGGAGAGGAATATTTCTGGATTAGGAGAGGAGCATTCCTGGATTAGGAGAGGAGCATTTCTGGATTAGGAGAGGAGCATTTCTGGATTAGGAGAGGAGCATTTCTGGATTAGGAGAGGAATATTTCTGGATTAGAAGAGTTAGCATTCATGGATTAGGAGAGGAAGATTCCTGGATTAGGAGAGGAACATTCCTGGAATACGGGAGTAAGCATTCCTGGATTAGGAGAGGAACATTCCTGGATTACGAGAGTTAGCATTCCTGGATTAGGAGAGGAACATTCCTGGATTAAGAGAGTTAGCATTCCTGGATTAGGAGAGGAACATTCCTGGATTAAGAGAGTTAGCATTCCTGGATTAAGAGAGGAACATTCCTTGATTAAGAGATTTAGCATTCCTGGATCAGGAGAGGAACATTCCTGGATTAAGAGAGTTAGCATTCCTGGATTAGGAGAGGAGCATTCCTGGATTAGAAGAGTTAGCATTGCTGGATTAGGAGAAGAGCATTCCTGGATTAGGAGAGGAACATTCCTTGATTAAGAGATTTAGCATTCCTGGATTAGGAGAGGAGCATTCCTGGATTAAGAGAGTTAGCATTCCTGGATTAGAAGAGTTAGCATTGCTGGATTAGGAGAAGAGCATTCCTGGATTAGGAGAGGAACATTTCTGGATTAAGAGATTTAGCATTCCTGGATTAGGAGAGGAGCATTCCTGGATTAAGAGAGTTAGCATTCCTGGATTAGAAGAGTTAGCATTGCTGGATTAGGAGAAGAGCATTTCTGGATTAGGAGAGGAATATTTCTGGATTAGAAGAGTTAGCATTCATGGATTAGGAGAGGAAGATTCCTGGATTAGGAGAGGAACATTCCTGGAATACGGGAGTAAGCATTCCTGGATTAGGAGAGGAACATTCCTGGATTACGAGAGTTAGCATTCCTGGATTAGGAGAGGAACATTCCTTGATTAAGAGATTTAGCATTCCTGGATTAGGAGAGGAGCATTCCTGGATTAAGAGAGTTAGCATTCCTGGATTAGAAGAGTTAGCATTGCTGGATTAGGAGAAGAGCATTTCTGGATTAGGAGAGGAATATTTCTGGATTAGAAGAGTTAGCATTCATGGATTAGGAGAGGAAGATTCCTGGATTAGGAGAGGAACATTCCTGGAATACGGGAGTAAGCATTCCTGGATTAGGAGAGGAACATTCCTGGATTACGAGAGTTAGCATTCCTGGATTAGGAGAGGAACATTCCTGGATTAAGAGAGTTAGCATTCCTGGATTAGGAGAGGAACATTCCTGGATTAAGAGAGTTAGCATTCCTGGATTAGGAGAGGAACATTCCTGGATTAAGAGAGTTAGCATTCCTGGATTAAGAGAGTTAGCATTCCTGGATTAGGAGAGGAACATTCCTTGATTAAGAGATTTAGCATTCCTGGATCAGGAGAGGAACATTCCTGGATTAAGAGAGTTAGCATTCCTGGATTAGGAGAGGAACATTCCTGGAATACGGGAGTAAGCATTCCTGGATTAGGAGAGGAACATTCCTGGATTACGAGAGTTAGCATTCCTGGATTAGGAGAGGAACATTCCTTGATTAAGAGATTTAGCATTCCTGGATTAGGAGAGGAGCATTCCTGGATTAAGAGAGTTAGCATTCCTGGATTAGAAGAGTTAGCATTGCTGGATTAGGAGAAGAGCATTTCTGGATTAGGAGAGGAATATTTCTGGATTAGAAGAGTTAGCATTCATGGATTAGGAGAGGAAGATTCCTGGATTAGGAGAGGAACATTCCTGGAATACGGGAGTAAGCATTCCTGGATTAGGAGAGGAACATTCCTGGATTACGAGAGTTAGCATTCCTGGATTAGGAGAGGAACATTCCTGGATTAAGAGAGTTAGCATTCCTGGATTAGGAGAGGAACATTCCTGGATTAAGAGAGTTAGCATTCCTGGATTAGGAGAGGAACATTCCTGGATTAAGAGAGTTAGCATTCCTGGATTAAGAGAGTTAGCATTCCTGGATTAGGAGAGGAACATTCCTTGATTAAGAGATTTAGCATTCCTGGATCAGGAGAGGAACATTCCTGGATTAAGAGAGTTAGCATTCCTGGATTAGGAGAGGAGCATTCCTGGATTAGAAGAGTTAGCATTGCTGGATTAGGAGAAGAGCATTCCTGGATTAGGAGAGGAACATTCCTTGATTAAGAGATTTAGCATTCCTGGATTAGGAGAGGAGCATTCCTGGATTAAGAGAGTTAGCATTCCTGGATTAGAAGAGTTAGCATTGCTGGATTAGGAGAAGAGCATTCCTGGATTAGGAGAGGAACATTTCTGGATTAGGAGAGGTAGCATTCCTGGATTAGGAGAGGAGCATTCCTGGATTAAGAGAGTTAGCATTCCTGGATTAGAAGAGTTAGCATTGCTGGATTAGGAGAAGAGCATTCCTGGATTAGGAGAGGAACATTTCTGGATTAGGAGAGGTAGCATTCCTGGATTAGGAGAGGAGCATTCCTGGATTAGGAGAGGTGCATTCCTGGATTAGAAGAGTTAGCATTCCTGGATTAGGAGAGTTAAGGCTTGATTGGTGTTGTTCAAATATTAGTAAATATGTAAAATAGGATGAAAGCGTCTCTGTTTCCTATTTTAATTTTTAAGATGTGTATTTATTTTTATCTCTGAGCTGGAAATGTCTTCAGACTGGATTTCAGGAATCTGGTCTCCTTAGTTTAAGGAACCTTTTTCTATCTGATTAATAATCAATTTATCAAACAAATAATCTAAAGATGAATGGATTATCACAGTGATGAAGTGCAGCCCTAGTCTGGTGGTTCTCCATCCATCTAAAGTTCACTCATCCATCAAACCTGAAACGGCTCAGAACAGCTCTACTTCTGAGGCGGACGACCGCCCCAAGATGGCCGCCGGCGGCCAGCGATTTCACAGTCGGCTTACAGAAGAGCGGAGGAAACGGAAAATGGCGGCCGCCTTAAAGACGCCTCTACAGGCAGAGTCTCCATGAAGGAGCCGCCGAACCAGAACCGAGTTCATAAGAGCCAAAAGACCAGACTGGACCGGAACCAAGAGAACTCACCTGCTAGTAATCCGCTCTGGGTCACTTCCTGGCTCTGCTTCTGTTGCACTGCTTGCGTCACATCCTGTCAGGAATGGACAAGGCTGTGTTCGAATTAATGGGCTGCGTCCTCAGAAAGCCAGATTTGAAGGACGATTGATGTCATAGCGCGGCGCCGAGGTCTGGTCTGATTCCAAGAGTCCTCGTTATGCGGCCTTAAAATGCGTCCTTCTTTTAGCTCGATTTGAAGGACGGGTCTGATGTATCCTCGCTATCCTTGGATATCCCAGGATTCATTGCGAGACCAAGCAAGCCGTGATCAGAGGAAAGGTTACTTGGCGCCGACCAGTGGTGAAAATTGGAAGTTCAGTTTAATATAATCCAGTCAGTGAATAGTTCTGTCTGAAATGAATGAAAATAGTTGTTTTAATGGTTATAGAGTCAGATATGTGGCGGTAATGTTTGATTTATCTAAAGGTTTTAATCTGTTACTGTGTAAATGGGTTTGGCTGGAATTTAAGGACAGATTCTAATAAATCTGCAGAGTGGGGACTAGAAACCTGATAGGATTTTATCTTTTTATTGTTGTTTTGCACAATATGCTTAACTACGTATTTTTTTGTTGTTGAATATTAGAGATTTTGCCTACCTAGACTGGATCCTCCAAGGACGCGGTCTACCTAGACTGGATCCTCCAAGGACGCGGTCTACCTAGACTGCATTCTCCAAGGACACGGTCTACCTAGACTGGATCCTCCAAGGACGCGGTCTACCTAGACTGGATCCTCCAAGGAGGCGGTCTACCTAGACTGGATCCTCCAAGGACGCTGTCTACCTAGACTGGATCCTCCAAGGACGCGGTCTACCTAGACTGGATCCTTCAAGGACGCGGTCTACCTAGACTGGATCCTCCAAGGACGCGGTCTACCTAGACTGGCTCCTCCAAGGACGCGGTCTACCTAGACTGGCTCCTCCAAGGACGCGGTCTACCTAGACTGTATCCTCCAAGGACGTGTTCTACCTAGACTGGATCCTCCAAGGACGCGGCCTACCTAGACTGGATCCTCCAAGGACGCGGTCTACCTAAACTAGATCCTCCAAGGACGCGGTCTACCTAGACTGGATCCTTCGAAGGACGCGGTCTACCTAGACTGGATCCTCCAAGGACGCGGTCTACCTAGACTGGCTCCTCCAAGGACGCGGTCTACCTAGACTGTATCCTCCAAGGAGCGTGTTCTACCTAGACTGGATCCTCCAAGGACGCGGCCTACCTAGACTGGATCCTCCAAGGACGCGGTCTACCTAAACTAGATCCTCCAAGGACGCGGTCTACCTAGACTGGATCCTTCGAAGGACGCGGTCTACCTAGACTGGATCCTCCAAGGACGCGGTCTACCTAGACTGGATCCTTCGAAGTCCTTGAAAAAAAGGAGACCGGAAGAGTTTAGTCTGTGAATTCGAACAGGTCTACCCTTCGGTGGGTTTTACTGCCGTATGTTCTGTTGCTCAGCAACCATGAAAGTTGACACACAAAGCAGGAAATGAATGAATACCGAAGTTTTCAAAACTGTTTGTTTATTTATTTATTTTTTGTTATAAAGTGAACAAAGACTACACTCACAAGAATCCAGAGTGGAATAAAGGTTCCAACCACCGGGAGCAGGAACAAATCAAATCAAATGTAATGATAGAAACCTTAGTCAGTTAAATAACCTGCTGCTGTCATTCTGCACATCTCTGATGTTGCTGCTATTTTCAAATTACTGTAAAAATGTCCATAGCTGCATATTGGTTATTTATTCTCCAGTTTTATATTGTTAAAACACTTTACAGTATTTTATTGTTTATATTTTAACTCTTCCCTATTATGTTATTCTTATACATTTTTCTAAGGTCCTCATTTGTGTGACCATTTTCAATAATCTTTCTGCTGCTGTAAATCTGCCCATTGTGGGAAAATAAAGGGATTTTCTATTCTATTCTATAAAAGGGGTAGAAAGATATAAATAAATCTAAACAATGTATGTATAAAAATATATCTGCAAAATCTCTAATATTCAACAACAAAAAATTCTTAGTTAAGCAAATTGTGCAAAACAGCAATAAAAAGATAAAAATCCTATCAGATTTATAGTCCCCACCCTGCAGATCTATTAGAATCTGTCCTTAAATTCCAGCCAAACCCATTTAATCAGTAACAGATTAAAACCTTAGATAAACCAAACATTACCGCCACATATCTGACTCTATAACCATTAAAACAACTATTTTCATTCTCTCAGACGGAACTATTCACTGACTGGATTATATTAAACTGAACTTCCAATTTTCACCACTGGTCGGCGCCAAGTAACCTTTCCTCTGATCACAGCTTGCATGGTCTCGCAATGAATCTGGCCTCCTTTAGTTCCCCTCAGTCTTTGTTCCACCTGCAGAATATTAATCTCAGTTTATTAATCTCAGTTTATTAATCTTCAGTTTAAAGTAAACTTTTTTGCTTTCTGATAATTTTCCTTTGTAGAAATTTTGTAAATCTTTACAGCAGTTTGAAAGCTGCTTTGTTTTTGGTGCAGGGCCCCCATCAGTGTCTCCATGGGGCCCCTAATCCTGATCATAAGAGCGACGCCCTGAACAAGGAGGGCCAGAGCCGCCTACACCTCCTGAGCAGTGCAGGGGCCCCTCGGATGCGTTCAAAC